ATTAGAATCTCCCAGCAGTCTAAAGCTATAGCAGCATAACAAAGGGACAGTTCAGGTGATCCTGAGCAGCCCCAACTATAAGCTGTATCAAAGAGGAACGTTTTAAGCCTAACCTTAAAAGTAGAGAGGGTGTCTGCCTCCCAAACTCAAACTGGGAGCTGATTCCACAACAGAGGAGGTTGATAACTGAAGGCTCTGCCTCCCATTCTACTTCTAGAAACTCTGGGAACCACAAGTAAACCTGCAGTCTGAGAGCGAAGGGCTCTGTTAGGATGATACGGTACGATAAGGTGTATAAGATAAGATGGAGCTGGTCATTGAGAGTTTTATATGTTAAAAGCAGGATTTTAAATTCTATCCTGGATTTTACAGGGAGCCAATGAAGAGAAGCTAATACAGGAGAAATCTGATCTCTCTTACTGGTTCCTGTCAGAACTCTGGCTGCAGCATTTTGGATCAGCTGGAGGTTTTTGAGAGAATTATTGGGACATCCTGACAATAAGGAATTACAATAGTCCAGTCTAGAAGTTATACATGCATGGACTAGTTTCTCAGCATCACCCTGACACAGGATGCTCCTGATTTTTGCAATATTACACAGAAAGGCTGTCCTACAAACTTGTTTTATATTCAACAAGATTAACAAGATCAACAAGATTATCCACCTGTGTGGGACTAAGATTAAAGTAATTGCTCTCTGTTGTGTTGGCATATGGCCCTGAAGTAAATAATAGTGGAACCATTTCCTTAAATTTAGTTACTGCATTATTAGATAGACATCTGCTGTAATAGAACTCTTTGGTAGGTGTTCCGTAGTCTATTATTGTGAATTCAAATGTTATTAAAAAGACAATACAGTTTTGTTTAAAAACAATAAGATGTTCAATTTCTATGCCATATGTCAAAACAAGATCAAGGGTTAAACTATGAGTTGGTTTATTGACATTTTGAGAGAAGCCAACTGAGTCAAACAATGAACTAAATGCAGAGTTGAGGCTGTCGCTCTTATCATCTACATGGATACTAAAGTCACCCACCATAATGACTTTATCTGTACTAAGCACTAACTCAGCTAAGAACTCTGAGAATTCAGATAGAAACTCGGAGTAGAGGGCCGCTGGCCGATATATAACAACTAACAGAACTGGTTTTCATGCTTTCCAACCTCTTTCCAATTTCCAAGTGTGTGAGACTAAAACTAAGGCTTTCAAACGAATTATAACTAAGTTTTGGTCTCTGGTTGATTAATAGGTTTGAGTGGATGATTGCCGCCACTCCTCCCCCTCTGTCTGTACTTCTAGGTACATGAGCATTAATATGACTGGGGGGAGTTGATTCATTTAGACGAACATATTCTTCATGCTGCAGCCAGGTTTCAGTCAGACACATAAAATCAATATGATGATCTGTTATCAGATCATGAACAAAAAGAGACTTAGATGACAGAGATCTAATATTTAACAGTCCACATTTAATTGTCCTGTTTTTGGATTGTAGTGGAGTTGTATTAATTTGGAGAAGGTTGTTGTTAACAGCCCTTCTGTTGTTAAAGTTAGATTTATAGAACCTGGATGGTCGGGGGGCAGACACAGTCTCTTTGGATATTGGGAGGGTGACAGCCATACAGAAGAAGCAGAGAGGCAGAGAAGCGTGTATGACTGCAACTCTGCTTCCTGGTCTCACCTCTGGACTGTCAGGGGTTTGGTTTTCTAATAAATTTCTACATATTCCTAGATAAGAGAGCTGTACCATCCAAAGTGGGATGTATGTCGTCTCTCCTAATGAGACCAGGTTTTCCCCAGAAAGTTTTCCAATTGTTTGTTAAGCCCACATTGTCTTCTGGGCACCACCTCGACAACCAGCGGTTGAATGATAACATGCGGCTATACATGTCATCACTGATCTCATTGGGCAAGGGTCCAGAGAAAACATAGGTTTAGCAAATTTACAGGGGGTGAGTTGTGAACTGTGGGCTTCTGTTTAGGACCAAGCTTCCTACGGACAGTCACCCAGCTCGCCTGGTTTCCTGGCTGCTCGGGAACTGGTGGGGGCCGGCAGACACAATGGAAGTCATTCCGCTGAAAGCAAACAGTCCAGTATTTCCAAATGGAACAGTAGAGTGATATGTAAGTCGTCATCTTCCCGCTTGTATAAAATCTAACTCAAAAGACATAATGGTGGATCAAATTCTGTGCAGTGGTAATGGATTATTTTATTATTATTATTATCATAGACTTAACTTGATAAGAGGTTGTTTTGTCTTTGGCTGACGTGGTGTAAAGATATTGCAAATCAACAAGATGACAAATTGGACTGACAAATTGTTATAGGTAGATAATATGAGCATTTTCTGATTGTTCCCTCTGTAGTTTCTATCTTTGGTGAGGTTTGTAGGACTGTAAACCTTCCAATGTTAGTCACGCTTATCAGAAACCATTAATATTGAAAGGAAATAGTTTTAGATACCTTTTATGAGCAGCCATCCTCACTGTAGCAAACGTAACACAAAAGGCTTGTCATCAGGACTTTTGGTTTCCAAAAACATTTGCACCTAGAAGTGAGTGTCAGCTGGAGCCGTGATAAACACACATGTAGTCAGGCCCATCCACCATCTTTGGAATTGTTAAATTTGAACTGACATTGAAAACCTGTAGTAGTGAATAAATGGTCTGCACTTATGTAGCGCTTTTCAACCTTAGTGGTACTCAAAGCGCTTTACAATGTTTTCTCATTCACCTATCAGTGGCGGCAGAGCTGCCATGCAAGGTGCTGCCTGTGAATGGGGGCAACTTCGGGTTCAGTGTCTTGCCCAAGGACACTTGGACAACTACCACATGAGCCACAGCTAAATGCATAAACATGAAATGCTGAGGTAAACTGTCTGTAGTTTCCTCAGTGTCCTGACTGTAGAAAAGCCGCAATACCCCTAAGACATGCACTTTTTGTAAGTGATGAAAGAAAAGCCTCAACCCCACGTCACGGCATAATTGTTAAGACGACTAGCGACTGTGTCATTCGCAGGCAACATTCCTCTTGATTTATTGTGTGTGACTGCAGTTTCAGCTCTTGACACACATGTGCATTTGTTTTTCCATCCATCCATTCTCTACACACCGCTTAATCCTCACTAGGGTCGCTGGGGGGGCTGGAGTCTATCACAGCCGACTCAGGGAGTGCATTTGTTTTATTTCCTACTAAATGTGTAGCAAATGCAACACAGGTTGTGCAGATGCACACGGCTGTTATCGGTTAAATTATCATGTTCTTGGAAGGCTTGCAAAGGTAGGGGTGAAAACTGAATGCAGCAAAATATAGGGAAAACCTGGAAGACAACCTCATGCAGTCTGCAAAGAAATGTGGAACTCATCCCGCCTAAATCGCAGTTCCCTTTTTTTCAGCAAGACACTGACCCAAAGCATACATCCAAATTGACAGTCAAAGCCCAGAACTCAGTCCAACTGAGAATTTGTTATTTTTTACATATTGCAAATCCTTGTACATATTATACACATTCAATATTTTGTCTGGTAATTGCCAAAATATCCCTTATTTAACAAACAAATAGATGTAAAATTCCTTGTTTTCAATGAAGTTGCAACTAATTGTGTCTGCTTTTAGAAATATATTGACAGCATTAAGCTTGAATCTAACAGAAATTAATTTTGCAAATATATTTAGTCATTTTGTGTCAAAAATGCTTTTTTTTAAAAAAACAACAAAGCCTTTATAATTACAGGTTTTTAATATTGTTAATGTTTTATTGCCATCAGACACTTGGAGTCAGTCTAGTTAAGGAAGGACTTGACGAATGACTGAAGTAAATGTCTTTATATTTCCACAGCTTTTATTCTACACCTCCAAGTTCATAACCACCCCAAACCATAATATAAATGGATAATGGATAACCATTCCATATGGGACTTTTAAGACTCAAAACTGGGATGATGCTTAAATGGCAATAAAAATGACAAATTTAAAGTTGAAATCCATGAAAACTGTTTACAAAACAATGTTTTAAGGAAAAAAAGAAGAGACTACAGCAGAAAATAGCATGATAACAGATTTTTGTTGCATTCTGTCTGGTCAATTATATTGCAATGTCTGTGATTGTTTAAACATGAATTAATAGGGAAACAGCAGTTCTACTGTTATAATCTCTCCACACAGTAGGGATTCGTGAGCACAATGTGCCTTATTCAGAGCACAAATTACAATTTTGAAAGTACGTGTGGTTTAGGCAACAACACAAACTATTAATTCCAAACTATTAATTAGTAATTTGCATATACAAGTTAGAACATATATTTCTGTCCTTTAAAATGTTCTTAGTGATTTCTGAAACTGTAATACATCATCTCAAATTTTGGGAAACCTATTCAACAAATGCTCTTTGCATTGCTCTGTATCCATATCGCACTTGACTTTACTGCAGTGCCAGCTACAAACAAACCTGCCAGTGCAAAGGTCCTGATTTTTCATAATTCAAATAGTCAGAGCTTATCAAGTGAGGCATTTTGTTATAGATCCGAGATCAAGGTCTCCGATGACCCTGAAATAATCTGCACCATCCCATCTGCTTTGATGCGGCAGATGATCAGTTACTGGCAGCAAGGTGTGAGTCAACGTCTGTCTTCATGTCAGCATCATTAACAGTTTATCAGCCACAGTTGTACTGAAACTATAATTCTGTCTAATAAACTAATAAATATTTACAAGGTATTATCTGGTGTTGATCGCCTCACATTGGCACTTTGAGTATCTATATTCCAGGCTTTGGCTAATCATTACTCACATCTTGCTACTTTTGCTTTTTATTACCTTTTACTCAGGTGAGTCTCTGGTGTTCAAAGGTATTAAAGGGAACGCCGTCTGCGGACCAAAAGACACACAAACGTGAGGTTATCTATTTTCTGGTAATCAGTTACTTCTCCATTGCTTGCACCTGGTGCAGAGGTCGCTGCAGTGATACTTCCCTTTGCCACAAGAAGAAGAGCTTGTTTCCCATCTGTCGTCCGTCTGTCTTTCTGCGAGAGCGTGAGACTGCACATTCATGTCCGCCATGGGTTGGATAAAGGAGTCACAGAAAAAGAAGAAGAAAATCATTGTGAGTATTGTTTTTTTTTTTTGTTCTATACTGATGTGGAATCTCAGTTTAAAAAAAAAAAAAAAAAGGCTGCTATGTTTCAGCTTTAGCTTTAAACAGTGAATACAAGTTGCAAACTGTTCTTTGGTAGGTCAGGTTTTGCCGTGGGGATGCCTTACTTTTTCAGAAACTACTGGTTCATGCTAAGCTATTGAATATTACTTGTGCTGAAAAAAATGGTGTCATCCATCAGACAAGCTACAAACTCTGGCAGATTTACATTCGAACTACATCATAAGTATGCTATGAGACTTGGAAATTAAACAGGTTCCGTTCATGTGCAGAAGGTAAGTCCTGCTCGTATAGAATATTATTATATACAAATGAGCTTAAAGTAAGTGACTGTTCGTGTCACTCTTACAGATAAGTATGCATATTACTTTCGGGGGGGGGATACCACATGGTACCTGGTAACCTCAAACACATTTCTGGTAGGTGTTGGATTCCACCACGAGCGTCCCTCATCTCTGATCTGAAATCATGGACAGGAAAGTTTTTGGATTGAGAACCTCAGAGTCATGTCCCTGCTTTATGCAGATGATGTAGTTCCGTTGGTTTAATCAATAATCAATTTAACTGATATGTGGCTTGCAGTCAGAATGAGAGTTTTCTGCATGAAATCGGTGGATTGCACCCTCTGGGTTGCTGCCACAAGCAAAGGAGTTTAAGTATCACAGGATCTTGGTCATTAGTGACAAGAAAATGGAGCATGAGATGGACTGATGGATTGGGGCAGCAGTCAATATATGTTCCTGTCACGGATCAGGTTCAGACACTCAAGTGCAGACATAAGACTTGGAAAACCAAGCTTAAGATGACAATATTTACACCAACACAGTATGTACAGAACGGGTTCAAAAGGGGACAGGAAACTAAATACATATAGAGACACCTACAGGACAGGCGGAATAACCACATATGGAATAAACTCTTAAACCAGAAAATAATTACAATCAAATAATTTTTCAAAGCTGAGGTACTCGAGGCTGGTAACACCAGGTCAGGCAAACAAAGTATCCACAGGGTTAAGTGGACAACAAAGGCTACGCGTGTCATGTGCTAATGGCTAGGCTAGTTGGGTTCAGTGAGAGACTGGAGGTTTACAGACAGTTGACCAAATGCGTATGGAGGGAATGGGAGGCGTTGTGGTGAGTGGCGCTGGAAGGAGATGGCAGACCAGGTGTAGTGGTGGCTGAAGACGGAGACAGTGAAGATGGACCAGAAGAGCTGGTGGAAGTTTGGGTTATGTCCAGCGGAGCCAGGTGTGGATGATGGACGAACGGAGATGCAAGCCAGAGCTTGTGAACAGCGAGGTGGTACAAACTGGAGTGGAGGAAAAAACAGGTTTGTACACAAACAACAGAATCACAGAACTTGAGCAGAACGGAGCCGGGGTAAACTAACTGAGCGTGGTTTACAGTCTGGCATCAAGTAGTGGACTGAAGGCTGCTTATATTGTGGCTGGTGAACCGTTGCAGGATCACCCCTCCTTACCTCAGGTGTGATCACTCAGGTAATAATCCAATCCGCTGCACCTGTCTGCATACTCACCACACACACACACAGGAAAAGAGTGAAAGGGGAAGGGGACTGCCACGAGGATGGATCAGAGGCGGAGGGCATGACACTTCCAACCCTTAAGGACCTAGACTGCAGACACAAGGAAGCAAAATGAGTTTCCTCCTTAAGGCAGCTGAGCTCAGAGATAGAATGTAGCTTGGAGTCAAGCATCTGATTAGGAAGCCTCCTGGACGCCTTCCTTTGTAGAATTTTTGGACATGCCTAACTGGGAGTCGAGCCCCAGTGCAGACCCAGAACTCTCCGTAGGGTTTACATGTCTCACCTGGCCTGGGAACTCTTAAGATCCTCCAGAAGAATTGGAAAACATTGCTGGGTAGAATAACGTTGTTCTGCCCTGGTTAGCCTGCTGGCACCAAGAGCCTGGACAAGCAGAAGAAGATGTGTGGATGGATATACATGCTTCCACTCATTCACATTATTCAACATTACAACATTTCTTCATACGTAGACGATGCACACATATACCTTTCCTTGAGACAGGGTGACTCAACAAGTCTTGCTGCTGTTTCAGATCGTCTCAGTCATGGCAACTGTTTGGCAACAACGTTTTTATCAATTCAATAATTAAAAGTGAGAAATTACATTGTTCACTTCCCCAAACTGTACCAGTCTCATTGAAGGCAGCCTTGTGTCATTGTCTGCTAATTTGATTCAGATTTAACTTTTGAACTGCAGATCAAGGAAGTCCGACCATGCCACATGAAGATAAGGCTCACAGGATAGCCTTGCTTTAATCAGATGTTGTGCTTTAACTGCATATAAAGCGTTTTATTGCTCATTGGGGTTTTATTGCTTTTATTATTTTACTTGTGTTTTTTTCTAATGTTGGCAAATTGTGTTTTGCATTTTTGCATCATTTGTCTTCTTGTTTAAACTGTATCTTAATTTCACCTTACTGTTTCATGCAGTGTTGTTTTGCCTTCTGCTTCTGCTCTGTCTGTCAAAGCATTTTGAACTGATAGATTTTTGTCCAGCAGCTTCCAGACCACTCAGTTTGTTGCCTTTTGAAACGCTTTCCAAGCAAGACTCAGATGCCAAAACAGTCCTCTAACGAGATCAGTCAAAACATAGAATCGCTTCAAGCTGTGCTTCCAGAAATCTCATTCGAGCAAATCAACAGTTTCCCTTCAGTTCGTACATCAAGGATTTGGGATCATTATAAAAATGATTGTTAAAAGATGTTCAACAAACAGCTTAAAACATTTTCAGACTGAATTTAAACCTACAAGTTCAGCTTTAAAGTGGTATCTGTCAGCTATAAGAGCAACAGAGGAACTGATATGCAGCTGCAACACGCTTTAACTGCTCTGGAATGTGAAGGACGTGTCACAAACAATTTTCAGCTCCATTTATGTAACAAAACATCACTCTCCTGTAATCACATGAGAATGCTGTTGGTGTTGAACCCGCTGCCCTTCACACTTTATATAAAACACATCACTCCATGACTCACAGATCGACCCCGACCTCTGTCCTTTCAGCCTGTTTGATTGCGATTAACTGAGAGTGAATTGTGGGAAAACAGGTGCCAGTTGGTTGAGACGGAACAGAAATCTGTGTCTCATCCTGTAAGGTGAAGATTTTGTTGATAGCTTCACATTGCATTTTTATTGGTGCATGAACTAAGGAAATCTATCTTCAAGTGTGTATATTTGTGTGTCACAGATTGGCGTCTTGGCAGTATCAATTGTGATCCTGGTCCTTGGTCTCGGACTCGGGCTTGGACTGGATTTGCAGGCATGTCGAAACAAAGGTGCAGTGAGTCACACACACACACACACACACACAGTCAAACATCAAATTTCTCACATACATCACGGAAATTTACAAAATGTAACTAAAAGCAGCTGTCTGTGTCTGCCATCACCCGCATAACTCATGCTACTGCTTAGGTTGACCTCTGGTTGATACTTTGTCAATTAGTCACATTAATCTTGGTATTTTCTGTGATTGTTTGTCACGACTCAAGATAATATCAATAACGGTGATTCAGAAGTATGGTGAGTCATGATTTTTAGAGTGAGTCTGTGGTTAGTGGCCAAAGGGGTTCACATCACCACTCACTTTGAGGAAGACATTAAAAAGAGAGTGAATATCTCCGTAAATGTAGTTTTAAATGTACTTCCATAACTGGTATTGAGGTGTTTAAGGTGGTATTATTGCGGCTAGTTACTGTGTCTTTCTCTTTACACATACTGCAAAAATGTTCTATCAGATACGAGTCTCCCACCTCCGTGCTTCTGTGTCAGGACGATGCATTCACTGTTGCAGTCCTGGTTGGATTCACACCAAACGTGCTGAATTCCATTTGAGCCACACAACCTTATCTTGGTCCTATCTGATCAAAGAATGTGCGCAATGTTTATTGGGCTTCTTTTCAAGTTCTTCGTCAGAGTTTCATCTTGCGGTTTAGTGCAAAAGAGTGAGACAGGTTGAACTTCTGAATTGTTCTTTAGACTTTCTGAGCTGTGACAGAAAGTCAGATTTTCACTGATAACCCCTGTGCCAAGCCTGGAGCAGTTTCCATTACCATTACATTGTAAAAGTAGTGCACTGTCAGTGGCCTCATTTAAGAGGGATGAAGACCACAACTCTGATTAGTGGTTCTACGTCTTATTGAATAATCACAGTCATATTCCTCCTGATCACTGCTGTAGCAGTATTTGCTCTGGTTTAGTCGGTCACTGATCTTTCTGTATCCTTTTTCATCAGTGTAAAGTCTCACAATCTTTTCTATGTGGATCCATGATGCAGATAGACACAGAACATAAGTCCAAAACGGAAAAAGCTCTAGTGTTCACAGGTGATTTTCATGCATTTTGGCTGGTTGGAAATCACAGATGTACTCAGGGAGGTTTAAGTGATAGCAGGTTTTATAACTTTTGTGTCAGATCACAGGTGTATTCACCAAAGTATTTGTGCATTTGATTGTTCAGAAGAGGAATTAAATATGAGCCTAGAATATTTAATGCCCTGTTTCAAGCTGATTATTATCTCAGTAGTGTGACTGCAAAATTAAACTGCTTAGTCAGGTATGGTGGTTTGGTAATGCTGCAAATAAATGTAACTAAAAGGCCTCAAGGGACACGAACAAAGAACGACTCTCTGTTTGTCACATATGGACTTTTTTTTTTGCAGCAACAACGAGGAACTACTTTGGTGGCTTTGGGGAGTTTCCGGTTTCGTAAATTCTCCTTTTATTCCACTTTCTGCTGAGATCTGCTGTTTATAACTAAACAGAATCCTGTAACGCACAGGAAAAACGTCAAAGGTCAGCTGACAATTTACGTTTCAGGTCATTTGTTTAAATCATAAGACACAAGGCCTGAGACAACAATAAATCCTTCTTTTATTTTATACAGACGTGCATTTTTTCCACTCTACAAGACTGACTTGCTGCACGTACACTCGGAAACATTAACTTAGGTTTCATGGTCATGTGGTTACGTATACGTGCATCACTCTATAAAGGTATCCAGCAATCAAATATGCTGTCATGAGGTGATGACTATGTTTTTAAATTTGGACGACAGCACATATTGAGATTCTAGCAGTGGAACATCCAGAGTATCTGAGCCCAAAGCAGTTTCTTGGCAATTTTCTGCCACATTTTTATTTATTATGGGCTCATAGTTCATTGCACCATAAAGTCCTGCACTTGTATGGAAAAGGCACAATAACAGCTACAAGTAAAGAGAACTCAAACATGTCCTTTGTGCATTACGACACATTTCTAATGCAATAAATAATGATAACTGATGACTCAGGTTGTTCTGGCAACACAGAATTTTTAGTTTTTCACAGAATCTGGTTAGGGAAAACTATTTTTGGCATTTAAAAAAAAAAAAAAAAAAGCAAGGCCTGTACAATAAAGTACTTTTGATAAAATATCACAATTTTAAGCTGTAATTAGATGAGTAATTTGAGGATTGTCAGAAAGGTGAAAGTCCAATTCTGGCTGTTTGCAGTTCCCTCCTGATAAATGGTTTGATTTTGGTGATTTAAAAAAAAAAAAAAGACAACATGCTATTTCAACCCGCCGGCAGGATTTGGGATGAGAGTATAAACTGACTATTTCACGAATGTGGTGGCAGCGAAATATCTTTTTTTGCATAATATCTTGGCATGTGTCGGCATTATTACAGCCTGCTTGAATGTGCCATTTGTCCTAAAAAGGACAAAACTCAGCTAAATGTGCCGTTTGGACAAAGGTTAAAGAAACGGTTTTGCCATGGAAAAACAAGTCAGCATTTAAAATAAGACACGCATATCCCTCAGTTCTGCCGAACATAGACCACTATATTTGTCATCTGGAGACAGTTCACACCTTGGTGGGTCACTGCTCACATGTCTTGTCACATGAGAGTTGCGAGACTGAAAATGTGACTCACAATACAATGTGTCTCATCAATACAAGCCTTCATGTGAACATCAAAGTTTTAATATTCTTTTCAAAGGCAAAACCAAATAACAATGTCAAAACACTGGGACATGACAGAACTAAACACTGAGCCACTGCAAACCCCAAACTAACAAATATCTCGGTATTAGGCAACCAAAAGGAAAAAAACAAACAAAAAAACGACACTACATATAACATTTTAAGAAAAATTGCCATTTAGAGTAATATAGTATTATAGTAAGAGATGCTAAAGTTTGATTTGTAAAAACTGAATTGAAAAATAAAAAAGATAAAAGAGATAATATTTATGTATTTATGTATTTTTTGTATTTGTATTGTATGCGTATAATATTAGCAGAGCGAAGTAATAGTTTTGAGAAAAAACACGTCGGTCACAAATATTTTTGTGGATCCATTAATATTTACATTGAATTATACTGTAAATATTAATAGATATTCTGAAAAAAAAATCTAAATGTTCCTAAGTGATAAAATGAAAAAGGAAAAAGCTGAGAAATGAGCGAATATTTCAGGACAAAGTTGTAATATTGAACATTAATTCAGTTACTTCTCTGTTGCAATACAGCCACTGAATGTATTCTGAAACTTTGTCACTAATCACCTGTTTCCAGAGAAATTCTCACAAGAGGCCAGAAGGTTGGCAACAACAACAAACAGAAAGAGAAAAAAAAAAGTGAATGTACTTGTAAGGCTATGTTGAGGGAAACGTGTGTTGACTGTTCTGATATTTTTTTTATTTTTTTATCTGGTACGAGATTGTTTGTCTTCCTGGCAGTCATATGAAATCAAACCCACACAGTGATACCCGCGTGCCAGAACCAGGTGTATTTGTTTTTCTTTTTTAAGTATCGGTGAAGAGACAATTCCAAAGTTAATCAAAAGCACAGGAGAAGGATAGACACTGATTTGTCTGCATACCACTGGTTAATTTATAATTCTGACTATTATTTTTGATATCTAGTCATGCACATGGCATCTGGGGAAGTCCCGCCAAGATTTACAGTAATACGAGCTTCTTTCAACATTGTTTTCCTCTTTCTCACTCAGCCATGAAGCTTTGACTGATGAAGAACAAGCACCAGTTGTTGTGTGCACAGCTACTGAAGCTTTTAACTCCTTCAGGGGGAGTCATAGGTGTCTTGGTGGCCTCCCTCACTCGTCTGTTTCTTGCAACTGACTGACTGATTCAGCGGTGTATAGATAAGGGATGGACAGATGGTATAACATGACCACGGTTTTAAAATATTTTAAGGATTCATCTTGTCTTTCTGTTCCAGTTACACCCCACACGTCCTGCAGGGAAAGATGCTACGAGCCCTTTGATGATGAGATTCCTGGCTGCAGATGTGACAGCAGCTGTACTGACACCAACAGCTGCTGCTACGACTACCACGACCTCTGCACCGTTCCCAGTGAGTTTGACCTTTCCCTTCCTAAAACAGTCTCCCAAGATAGTTCAGATACTTCTGATGCTACAAATCTAGAAAATATATCTACTAGTCTTGATAAGCAGTAGTTTATGTTGATGCCTTCGCAGTTGAGCTGATGAGAATCACAGTTGCAGTTTTGCTTTGGGGAACCCTCAGGCAGTTTCTGGATGGTTTTTCTTTCTTGTTCCATTTTTACTCACTGTGGGCTCATTTTTCACAACCATATAAAGTATAATTCTCATGAATCATAATAAAATAAAACAAAATAAAATAATGAAAGCTAAATATCTTGAAAAATAAAATCAAGATGTAAAACATTTTTCCAACTGCAAACAGGTGGTGACTCTCTCTGTTTACATTTTAAATTTCTTTTCATATTTGTCACCTCTCTGCCTTCAGTTCAGCCAAAAAAGTAAAAAAAAAAAAGTCTCTATCTTTGTTGATAGCTTATTGGTTACACCAAAAAGCACAAAGGTTTCAGCCTTTAACAGTTCGCAAAAACAATTTATTTTATTTTTAAATGAGACATGTAGAATAAAGTGATTTTGCTTAGATATCATGATTTTAAGCTTCGATTTGGTTGCTTTCCCAACAAAATGGCACGTCACAGGTGGATAGTCCAAGGGTGGCTAAAAGGGTGACAAACTGACATTTTTTTCCCATTTTTATTTATTTATTTTTTTTTACTGTTTCCGGCTCTGACAAATGGTGTCAGTTGCTCAGGAGGACTGAAGCAAAATGGGGATTTACAATCAAACATTTCAGATGTGCAAATTGTTTCATGCTCAATTCAAATGAATGAGATGTTGTGCCTACCTCTGTACCTGTTCCCTTCAGCCCAGCAGTGGGAATGCACGAAGCTGCGCTGTGGCGAGAAGAGGCTGGATCAGAGCAAGTGTCAGTGCTCTGACGACTGTCTGTCTGCAGGAGACTGTTGCACCAATTACAAGCACGTCTGCCACGGTGAGACTGTGCAGGAGGACAAAGAAATCTAGAAACGAGACGATGGATATCACAAGACATAAGTTAAGACGAGGCTTAGGAAAGTTAAAGCTGCTTTACCCTAACAAACTGTAAATGACCCCGGCTGGTGTTGTGTGTCCCCCATATGCAGCGTGTAGACTATGTAGGTCATATCTGAAATGCTGGTGAGCTTTCATTTCGTTGGCTATGACTTTGATGTAATAAACAATGACCTGACTGATTAAAAAAAAAGGAGACTCATACGGGTATGTTTAATTTCCACACTGATTTTGGCCTGGGAAACGTTGTTCTGAGTTCTTCTCAGGATCTGAGTGCCTCCTGCAATTATAAAGTGCTGCTAGAGCAGACAATTAGGGTAAAAACACAACTGTGTTTGAAGATTAGCCAATTGTTATTGAACCATCAAATATAATTTTATTGAACGATGCAATGGTATTTGCAATGATTTACAATAAGCAATGGTGAAATGCAGCATACTAAGCATGCATTCTTTGTTTTTCCACCGTGTTACAGGGGACACTGAGTGGGTGGCGGATAAATGCGAGGACCTGTCAGCCCCTTCGTGTCCAGCAGGGTAAGACTGTATAATAAAGATTTATCATCATTGATGGGGAAATACAACAAACTCAGTGAGCTGAAGACAACTGATGAAAAAATGAGCTTTTTCTTGTAATGCATTTCTGCTTTTCTAAATTTATTGTGCAGTTAGAATCTGCCGCTGTACCGGTTTAGGTTAAGAAACTCTACGTACAAAGATTAAGGTGTAAAAAAAATATGTTTGCTCTTTGCTTTTTGTCAGTTTTTGAAGGATGTATTCTTACAATTTCAAAGCTCTTGTTGTCAAGCAGACTTCCTCCAGAATCCGTAAGCTTAATATTTACTCCAAAACAAGGTTTGCATAGGAGTGTTATAATTAAGTATGTTTCGAGCTATTACGTATTCTGAATCTGTATTTCCCCACTGAACCTATGATCCTGTTTTTCTTTTTTTTCTACTGAGCACAATGCACGTCCTTGAAGATAACCTGGCCAATGAGAACTGGTTCACATACTGGGAGACAGCTGAAACTCCTCTTTTCTATCAGTTGCTTTAGATGCATGCCTTTTGGACAACACACACACACACACACACACACACACACACACACTTTGAATTCGATCCAAGCAGTTTCTGTTCACATTTCAGTGAACTTCCACATGAACAGTGGTTAGCCTGTTCCAAATTAACCTCGGTAGCGTACAAGTCCAACCTCTGTCTGTACTGAACGGGGAAGTCCCAGCACAAGAAGATATCTGTCAGCTGAACCCAAAAAAGACTCAGTTCAGCTGGACATGAGATTCCTCTCTGTCCCTCTGAATTCCAGTGCTGCCTCACTTTACCTGTGACCTGAATAAATTCTACAACTGACAAAAACAAATGAACAACTACAAATGAAGATTTCTCCGGTTTGTTCTTGGGCTTCCAACTAAAGAATCGGGTCTAAGAGGAGGCTAAAATGAGAAAAACTGCACCTGCAATTTTAGGTTTTGTTGCATAACCCAGCTGGTTGTGAATAACTGCAATTTTCATGTTAATATCAAGAGCAAATATGAGCGCTATCCCTGCATGTGTATCAGGTATTTAAACCTCCTATTATTATCCACTCACAGCAGCTCTGCACCCCATCAGAGTATGTTTGTTAGAGAATTGAATTTGCATTTCTTTTCTTTTTTCTTTTTTCCCACCTTGTAGCTTTAAATCGCAGCCGCTGCTCCTGGTCTCTTTGGATGGCCTGAGGGCAGAGTACCTGCAGACGTGGCGCGCTCTCATCCCTGTTCTGGACAAACTCAGTTAGTGTGAACCGCATTATGCACTGTCAAATCTGATTTTCTCAGCTCAAACACATGAGGTCTCACAGGAAACGTAGCAACTCTACAGTCGACCTCTTTAACATGATTTTACACTTTCTTAGGAGACTGGTTATACATTGCAGATATCTGATATCTGAAGTCGAAAAGAGCATTTCAGATATCCACAACGACATCGCTCTTCTTCACAGAAACCTTTCCAATGCATGTAAAAACTGGATTTTGCACTTTTTGCATGACCATCTTGCAGTTTGTAGTCAATGCGCGTGTCAGTTGACATGCCCTGAATGTTGGCCTCATTAACATGTCCAACTCATTGAAAAACACAATGACGCACCACTCCATTCCTATTAGTTGGAAGCCTTTGATGGATTTAATTTTCTCTGGCACAGCTTGAAATGTGGTCATCTGTTCTTTTACGCAACAGGGGCATGTGGATCGTCAGCTCCTTACATGCAGGCCGCATTTCCAAGCAAGACGTTCCCGAATCACTACACCATTGTTACGGTAAAAGCTCCAGGCACCTACGCTGCTGCACATGGAGCCATGCACACGTACACGCAAACAGCACTTTGCCACGAACACAAATCTGATCCAGTGAAGCTCTGGGAGTGAAGCTTTTGTTGTGTTGTTGAACCGAAAGAGTGTAATTTTAGCAAGCGATGGTTGGAAGTTTCTGCAGTATTTCAGCGCTAATGCTTGCATATATCAAGTCAGTTTTATGTAAATGGTGCAAATGCACAACATAAGTCATCTCAGGGCACTTCACGTGGTAAAGACCCCACAAAAATATACTGCAGAGAGGAACCAAACAAATCCAATGATTACCTTAGAGCAGGTCTTTGGCAATAATTGGAAGAAGAAACTCCCCTTTACCCAGAAGAAACCCCTGGCAGAACCAGTCTTAGGGAGGGTGGTCACGTGCCTTAAGCAGGCAGGTTGAGGGTAAACAGGAGTCAGAATGCAATAACTAAATAATGCATATACAAACCATGAACAGTCAGTTTAACCAGTCAGTAAGTGTAGATTAGAAACATGAGAGATATCTGCAGACAGGACAAAAACAGACAAAGAAGGTTAGCATTATGCAATGGTGGCAAATACGTGTATGCAGGACAAAAAGTGTTGAGAAAAGGTGCTCAGTGCATCATGGGACATCCCCCTGCAGCGTAGGCCTATAGAAGGAAAATTAAAGAGTGATTCAGGGTCACCTGATCCTAAAAGTAGTGAGGGTTTCTGCCTACTGAATCCTAATTAGGAGCTGGTTTCATAGGAGAGAAGAATAATAAATGATGGTTCTGCCTCCGTTACATATCTGGAAAATCTAGCAACCACAAACAAACCTGCAGTCTGAAGAAAGTGCTCTGTTGAAATAAAATGGTACAACAAGGTCTTTAAGATAAATTGGGGCTTGGTCCTTAAGGGCTTTGCATGTGAGCAGAAGGAATTTAGTTAATATTCTGGATTTTACAGGGAGCCAATGTGGAGAAGCTGAAAAAGATCTGTCCTGTTAGTTCTTGTCAGAGCTCTGGCTGCAGCAGTTTGGATCAGCTGGAGGTTTTTCAGAGAGTTCATGAGACATCCTTGATAAGAAGGATTTACAGCTATCCAGCCGTGAGGTTACAAATGTACGGATCAGTTGTTCAGCATCAGTCTGAGTCAGGAGTTTTGAAACAACAATCCCTGTGAGCAAGACGTTCAGGAAACAGCTTCAGTTCTGTCATCTAATAATGCCCCAGGGTCAGCTGAACTATATCTTGGCATTTTGCAACATAATTTCTGCAGAGGCTTGAGGAACCTCCCTGTGAAGCATTTGTTTAGTAGATCTGCAGTGAGGGAATTCCTTCCACTCTGACTCACTCATTGCTGGGGATCACTCTGCTCTGTCATAAACATGTGATGACTCACAGATGAATTTTATAGAGAAACTAGTTCCGATCCAAATATCTGTCACGTCACACGTTTCTTTCTTCCCTTCAGGGTCTCTATCCAGAGTCCAACGGCCTGGTCGATAACTCTATGTATGATCCGGTGTTAGATGCCAGCTTCTCTCTGTCCAACTCAGAGAAAGACAACCCCGCCTGGTACCTCGGGCAACCCGTGAGTCACAATATCCTTGATAATAAGCCATGCAAACATTACATAAGATGCAGTTGTTGTTTTAAGTAAGAGCTCCTTTTCTGCAGCAGTGTTGTCTGGTTCTGAATATGCAAAGACACGTATCTTCAGTAAGTTCTGTGAAATGCACTTGTGAAACCAACTAAATGTCAGCTAAGGTGAACTTCTTCTGATTGCCAATGTGATAAGATAGGGTTGAGATCTCGAGGTAACAGGATGTCAAGGATAATTTCATTTGATTACGTGGTGCAACTAAGGCAAATGGAATCTTTTAGATAAAGATCTGTGTTAGATGTTGCAAAAGATGGACACCTTATTTAGTGCTGATCCACACTAGTTGGTGAAAATCAAATTGCCTGTCTTTTTCTGGAGATTTGGCACACAGCAAAGTATCAGGGACTGAAGGCTGGGACTTTCTTCTGGCCGGGATCAGACGTCCAAATCAACGGAACCTACCCTGACATCTACCAACCTTACAACGGGTAAGACTGGCATTCCTGTGTGTTCTGCTAGTGCCGGGACGTGAGCCAATTTGATTTGAAAAAATAAAAACAGACACGCCACAATTAAAGATGAGAAGACATCTGTGCTGCAAACAAACCAGTTTGTTAGTTGGCAAATGTGCTGTTTTCAGTTTATCTTATCCCCATTAGATTATTAAGCTGATTCACACGTCTTGGTCATACTTACCAGGAAAAATTCGCTGTGCAACATACTTCAGCACTGAGTCACACAGTGTAGCTGCAATCTGCAAACATAGAAACTATCCAAGAAAACAGTCTGCTGCTCCTCACTGAGCCACTGAAAGCCAAGTTAGTCACTATTTTCAACTGTTCTTCAAGTCTCCTAAGAAGTCCATGAAGCACCACCACCATTAATTTCATGTCTCATTGAATGACTGCTTTCAAACATTGTTGCTCAAATTGTGAACCTAACCTGAGATGTACAAGCTCATGAATCATATTTTGGTAGCAGTTCATACAATTAATTAACTAAAAATGTGAAAATGTACAGTAACGTACAGATTTAAATATTTCTACAGTGTTGACATTTGTGTGTTTATAAATTAGGTAATTAATTTTTTTTTGTATTACATTATATGTTAAACATTTAAATGTTTATGCTTGTCATTTTAAGAGAATTGCATTTGCAGTTATCGCAGTCAGAGGCCTTCATGATTCTGATTGGTGGTCACGTGCAAGTCAGAATGAGGAAGTTGTGTTGTTGTAAATCATTATCTGTCTCCATAGTGGTGTTTCTCCTTAGAAAAGTGATCCAAGCACCACACATTAAACCCACAGTACTATTCAATGTCAGGCAGATTGAAAACATGCCAGATAACTGTTCGCTGCAAGACAAGCGAAGCAGTTTCAACTGAGTTTAAATTTTTTGCACATCTTCACGCAGAAGCAGGTTAACTAACAATGTTCAGTATGCGCAGTTAAATGTAGCACAAATGTACTGCAACAACGCTTGCTGTCTGTGAACGTTACTGGTTTTAAAAGTTGCTCATTTTTCTTACCGGTCATCACTGTAGAGCTGAAATCACTGAACAGAATCCACACCACAGACTAACAGTCAATGAAGTCACAGGAAACAAATGCAGTTGTATCGTCCACTTTTGATCTCCTGTGAGAGAGAAAAATGATGAGAAAATGTGGAGCTTTTCAGCGTTGCATTTTAAATCATTGTGAAGACTCACGTGCTGCGACATCTTCAGCATCCAAATATTTATCAGTTGCTGATTCAAGTCTGCAAAACAAAAATTTTAAAACTAAATAATGAAAATCACATCAAGTCTAATGGATGCAACTTGATTCACAGGTTACTGTAAATGTGTTTTAGTCCAAGTGTTTTTTAAGCAACACTTTATACTTTGGTTTGATCTTTGAGCCAGACAACATAATTATAATTTGTGTGGCAATAAAATATCCATAAATGTGCAGTGTGTTGATACAGAACTGGCTGATAAGACTGTATGTAATATGACGGGCAGAATAAAGCAATCATTGCAATAAAGCAGCCATAACCGGTGATGTAGCACAGATGTGCTGTGTTGTTTTGGTAAGAGCAGAGCCTTTTATCACTGCGTGGGGTGGTTGGCTGATGAGGAAGCATTGGTCTGCCAATTCAGATGTTCTTCAGCTGAATCAGCTCACGGCTGAAATTTCAAGAATTCCTTTTGACGCTCTTTCCTACGTGTTTTCTGGTTCAGATAAGAATCGTTTACGTGGTGTTTACGTCCTAGATGTTCTGAGCGGGCTATCTGAACATTTTGTTGCTCTTTAGCAACCAGGGAGGAGTTGCATGGTTACACTGATAGGGATTTTGAAAGGATAAGAGTGCACAAAACTTATGAAAAGACCAAACCCAAAATCTCTTAAGCTAGTATCTCAGTTCTTTGTGCTCCCTGCTCTGTCTTCCAAAACAAACATAGTTTCAAAGGACAAATGAAATGTACGACATCAGGAAGAGCCTGTCTGAACATGCAGCACAACTCCTGATACAGCCTCTAATAATACCACACATTGACTACTGCAACTCCTTACTGGCAGGCATCCACGGCAAACCTCTGCAGATGATCCACAATGCAGCACGTCTGGTTTTCAACTGGCCAAAAAACAGCACATTACCACGCTGTTCAAAACTCTGACAGACACTTGTCCACAAAACTACAATGAGAACAGCTCCCTCCTATCTGAACTCTCTCCTTCATGTCAACACTCCAGCTCACTACACTCGACCAACAAAAGCTGCCTGATCCAACCACCACAACAGGGCCTGAGGTCGAATGCTAGACTCTTCTCCTCTGTGGTTCCCCGGTGGTGGAAACTCTGTTCAATCTGCTGATTCCCTCTGAGTCTTTAAGAAAAGACCAGCTCTTCACTGAAAACTTCTGCTCTTGACAGACTGGAAAAAAGAAAAAGAAAAGAATCCTATTACCTTCTGCTCTGCCTGTAGGCACCAAAGTACCAACACACCTGGACTTGTTTTTTTTATGGCACTTATCCAGGTTGCTTTCTCCCGACTAGATCCTTGCTTGTGTTGTATCTACTCTCAGATCTAAGTCGCTTTGGATGGAAGCGTCTGCCAAATGAAATCGTAGAATTAAAAAAAAAAAAAGCTCAGTAAAAACAGTGTTTTTGGTCAACATTTCAGTTCACTGATGTCTTTAGCTTTTGAACAGAGGAGCTTAGTCGTGCAGAGGGCTTTATGTTCACTCACAATAATCCTTAGGTTGCGTTTACTGCCACTGCAAGGCTAGAGGAACCAAGTGCAAACACTGGACGAAGGAAAAGACTGCAGGGTTTGTTCTGAGAGCAGAACACTAGAGCAGGTCATCAGTGGGAGCCGGGGGCTGAGGCTCGGACTCGTACCCTGTAAAGATCTTTTAACTGTGATGGTATACAGATTTCCCTCGTTTTGTTCAATTACAGATAATAAATTAAAGAATCACAAATAAATAAATAAATAAATAAATAAAAGCACGTTAACCACTAAAAACAGGCCAAAACTGTAAATAAAGTCCGCATCAAAAATCTCAACAGTCATTCATTCAGCCATTCCAATTTTTACTGCACCTAAATCAGCCAAAAGTGCCACTATTTTACAGATATTAGGACTAGTAGTTGGAAGACGGGGGCTGAGGCTCAGACTCGTAGTGGGGAGTCAGGGGCAGAGACCAGTAGCTGGAGGCTGAAGTTGTCCTGAGCCGATTCATGCACAGAACTGAGAGCACAGAGAAGGTGAAGCTCATTAAACCAGAGCTGCAGATTATGAAAGACGGGTCTTTAGAAGCAGACTTGATGCAGCAGCTGCAGCACACACACAAGGGAGAAAGGGAGCGGCTGCATAGCTTCACGTCTTGGTTTTGATCGTTTCATGGGAGTTTTGTAACGATAAGAAAAAGCACAGAAAATAACCAGACTCGTACTGATTTTCCTTTTGGAAAATTCTGGTGGCAGATAAGATGTCTCAGTAATGTGTTTACTTTCATCCTCATCAGACCTTCCACACTGCAAAAACTCCTCCTCCCACACGTATCTACAGCACCGCACGCCGTTCCTCCGATAACACGCCTGACTATTACTGCTGCAGCTCTGCAACCATCCTCAAAAGTGTCTCAAATAATGGACTTAAAGATGATAGACAACAAATTCAAACCCATGCATTCCATTATTCCATCTCTGGGTCACAACAACGACTGATTCAGTCGACCTATTCCCAGCAATAAATTAAATGCAAGATGAAACGACTAACTTACTGATTTAGATAAGCTATTTAAGTTGCAAACATTATTTTGATGAGTTTTGAAATAATGTTAGTAATTACATCAACTTAATATTGTCAGCAACTGAAACTCAAATGTCTGTGTTAGTTGATTTGGAATTACATTTACATTGGGGTAACTTGGCTTTAGAACGTATTTTTTTCCACCTTGAGTTCAGGTTTTCAAGCTGCCTTTCATATACAATTTCAAATTTAAAAATACTCTAATCATGGAGAAAAAGTCAGGTCCTCGAACTCAAAGTAGTTTGTCTGAACATAATTTTATTAGAGGTTATAACCCCCCAAAATGTATTTTTTATACTCAAATTTTTTTAGAGTGTAAACAGGTGTTTTGCTGATTTTGATCGGAAAAAATAGTTGGATCAGCTTAAATGAATTGCTTTAATTAGCAACACACAGTTTTGTTAAGAAGTCATATTAAACAGACTTAAATCAATTGAAACTTTTTGAATTCAAAGTTTTCATTGCTGCAGGTCATTTCTAAGGAAAGTCAACATGAAGTTCCCCATTTTTTTCAACTGATGTAATTATTTTTATCTAAACATAAAATGTAAAATGTGATGTTGTCATTAGACTTAGATTTTTTCTTCTTCTTCTTTTTTAATCCAACTTGATTAACTTGCAGCAGAACATGAAGGGTGTTTAGTGAACGCACCATGCTAAAGGAGCACTACACCTAATTTTCATGCTCAGGCTGAAGTTAGAATACCAGTTTAAGGAACCAAAGTGTAAAATTTCAAGTTAAAAGAATCCACAAAAGTAAACTTCCCCCCCAGGGCAGCTGTGGCTACAATCGTAGCTTACCACCACTGGAATGAATGTGTGTGAATGAATAATTGACAGTGTATGTGGTTGGAGTTACTCCTTGAGTGAGAAAAGCGCTACATAAATCTAATCAGTTATTGTTGTTGTCACAAATGAGGAAAAATAAATAAGACAAAATACCAGAAGCTTTTAGTTTACATCTCTACTGTGAGCTCTCTACTCTGTCTGTCTGCAGCTTTCACTTCCAACCCCACTGCTTTCTTAAAAAAGTCGCAAACATAGCGTTTCATTTAAAAATAGTCATAGTTTGGTAATTTCCTAAAGTGGCTGGGTGCTGTAGTTTTTATTTATTGTTTTCAGTGGAAGATAAATCCACATTTGGTGTTGTCATACATGTACATTTCATGGAGGAAAGAGTGGACACATCATCCTCGATATTAAGAGTAATTAGAATATGTGGAACAAGTAGTGTTCCCAGCGCATCCCCCCCCCCAAAAAAAAACATGATCTGATCAAATAGCAAAGAGAATAAAAAAATAAAAATAAAAAAATAAAAATAAAAAAAAAGAAGTTAACACTACTCATAATGTCAAGACATGGACTTTCATTTTCTGTTTTCATTTGGTCTTTTTTAACTCTTTAAATATGAATCGAGTCACATGTAATTATCCCACAACACCCACACACACAAATACATTCCTGCTATAATCTGATGCAGAAATGGCACGAATAGTTGGTCAAAATTGCAGGAGAGGAAGTGTTTGAGACATGTGGTTGTTTTCTTGTCCAAAAGCACGAGCACGCGTTTGTTGTGGGCTGTGACACACACCAGTGTCTGGTAGCCTGAGAACTTGAATGTATTACTCAAAATAGACCTCCTCAATAACCTTTAATCACCTCTGAGGTAGCCATGTCAACATATAGAGATAGAGATTCTGTTTCATGCGTGACTGTGAGCTCCAGACAAAACAGAGTTGAGGGTTTTCCCACAGAAGGATGTTCTCCAACCCTAACAACCCCCCCACTAATTGACCCACTTGAATTTTTGTTTATCGCTCTGAGCTCCTGTCCCATTTCAACTCACTGTGGGCTCTTTTTTTTCTCTCACTGCAATCTAAAGTCCTGCAACTCTATGGAAACAGCACAACCATGACTAGAAGTAGCGAGAAATCATGTGTTCTGTGCAGTATGACACAATTACAATGCCTTAAATCATTAAAAAAAGGAAAAAAAACAGTTGACTATCTTTGAATATTTAAAACCTGGAATCAGCATCTCCAATGCTTTGCTGTGGCTAAGGTGTCACCAACACTGTGGGAAAAAAAAAACAAAAGTCGCTCAACATGCTGTAGATATTTCACTATTTGTATTTTAAATTGTTTTAGTATTTTCTTCTCTTTGCTCTGTCCGCACACAGCATGCTGTTCAGCCGAAACATCCCTGAGTCTCTTGATGTTTACAGCATCTGCTTTCTTGCCAATGTTTAATTTTCAGTATAGTATAAAAAGATTTTAATGAAATATGGTGCATTTAAGCTTAGCTTTGGTTTACTTTTGTGATGAAACGGTATGAAACAGATCAGCAGGACTGTTGACAAGTCAAAAATGTAACATTTATTTCCTTTTTTTCACAGTTTGTGGTTCAGGGAAATTGTGATTTTTTTTTTTTGGATTAAAATAAAAACAAAACAAAACATGCTTTTCAACCTCTCTGTCAGGTTTGGGGTTTATCAGTGTTGAAATAAACACGACAAGTACAAAAATGTTTTTTTTACACACAATATTTGATGTTTCAATCTGTTCTTTTTCTTGTTTGTTTTAGCAAAGTGCCATTTGAAGAAAGAGTTTTTACTGTGCTGAAGTGGCTGCAGCTGCCTGATGATCAGAGGTTGGTTGTTCCTGGATTCACAGGATTCAGTCATTCAAAGTTTTTGCTTGTTGGATTTAAGCTAAAAAAATAAAATAAAATAAAAAATTACTTTTCTCCCCAGACCAGATTTCTATACGTTGTATCTGGAGGAACCTGATAAATCTGGACACAGCTACGGTCCTGTCAGCGGAGGGGTAAGCTCACCTCAACTCGATTGTATCAAGAGGAAGAAACTAAGGAAAACGCATCTTTTTAGTTTTTGTCTGTTTCTCATTTCCTCTGCTCGGTTCTGTCCCCTGACTCTTCAGTGAATCAGGAATTGTTTGACCCTGTTGTTTGCATTTTTCACTGATCTGCAATTTACCACTTTAGTCAGATCTCTGTGTTCACATCCTCTGAATTCCTCACACACACGGCATAGAATCAATTGCAGATCCACATCCTGCAGCCATTAGCACAACCGATTACTGATGAGGCTGTTAATGGCACCATTGGAAAAGTTTCGAGGGACTTAATGACAAATCTTCATCAATATTAAAACCATTTTAATCACATTAGCAAAGACGAAGCTCTTTATGAAGCTCAACAAACAGCTTGGACAGTTGTGTAGTGCCTTACACAACTGAATGGTTTACGGAAAAAGACGTCTAAATTCCCTGATTGCAGCTTCTTAAATGTGAATATTTTCTGGTTTCTTTACTCCTCTGTTTAAACTGAACATCTTTGGATTGTGGACAAAACAAGACTTTTGTCATCTGGGGCTTTTTGGGAAACACTGGTTGAATTTTATATTATTTTAAAAACCATTTTCTGACATTTTATAGACCAACCAATGAACCGAAAGATTGAGAAAACAATCAACAAATAAAATCAACAATGAAAACAGTCATTAAACGCAGCCCTGGTGTGATTCCACCCTATGAGCCATTTTCAGGGTATTTTAATACCTTTACATTTAAGCTCTTATCTTGGTCATTGGAAGGACGAACCACACATGCTACATGCTGTTTTTTTCAAAACAGTTGAGGCAATCCAGATCGTCTATCTTTTGAAATGATAATAAGTGCATTTTTTTTTGTATCAGCCTTTATATCAAGAACAAAATAATCCCTACAATGAACATATTGTGTTGTTACAAGGATCTCGCTCTAAAACACTGGCAGTAGAGATACTTTTTCACAACTGTGTAGGGGAGAGTTTCTGGAATCTGGTAAAAGTCCGAACCATAATGTTAGGATGCTGCACTCATTGTTTTATTCACATATGTAGCCTTAATGCAGAGTTGGATTTCATTCAAAATGACTTTCTTCTCGCCAACATTTCTTTGTACAAACAAGGAACTGCAATTGTTAGAAAGGTCAAGTCATGCAGTGTTTGTTTGACATGTCTCTGTAAAACATACTTAGAGTAATGCAACTGAGAAGAAGGGAAGTGAATTCAAAGTGCGTCTGTCAAGCTCTAAGGGCAACATGTTGTACAAGATGAATACAAATATATATTGTCAAGCCAGTGCTAAAGTAGAACTTCACAGTTAGCTCAGTCTTTTAAAGCTATCATATTGTGTCTTTTTTCAGCAAATTAACTGAAGTCTCGCATGTCCCCAGAATGTATATTTTAGTTTTTCACCTCAAAATACTGCAAACAAGGTTAATTTTCACCATGACAGCATAACTCCTGGTTTTAGCTCTCATCTAAACGGGCTGTTTCAGTGTCTGTAGCTGTAAATGTATCTGAACTGCCCCTTTAGGAAGAAGGCTCTCTGTTTACGATTGACAGTGATTAAATCAAAGCGTGAGACTAGGAGATTCTATTGGAAACATGTCGTCGTCTTTACTCGTGTTTGGCGAGTTTGTCAGATAACGTTTCAGTTCAAAAGTTAAGATTTTAGTGTTGCAGATTAGCAGCTTGGAAAGGGTTGTAAAGAAAGTCAACCAGTTTGGTGAACTGTGAGGCAGCTGCTCATTCTTACCGCTTCACCTGAATGCAGTGACCAGAAGGGGGCGGGATCATGCTAAACAACTTTCAGTGGAGTTCCTCGGTTTCTACTTCGTCACTGGATAACATTCTTACTGGCTTGTAAAGCTGGAAGGCCAGGGGCCCTTGAGGAATGGCAGTAGTAAGCGTTTTCATATCTTAACAGCTTCTTCTTTTTTACAAGTTTTGAAGACGTACAAAACACAATGAAAGTACAATTCACCACATGCGATCTGTAAGTATGAGGAATTAATAAATCCTTGTGTGGAGGATGTTGGTTTGACTGATACATTAACAAGCCAGTCAACATTAAACCGTCAAATTGTGTCAAAGAAAGGAAGTCCACCTTTCAAGGCAGTCAAGCATCTGGATGTCTGTGATTGGAAAGTCAGTCAGTATACAGCAACACCTCACTGACAGGTCTTTGAAGTCTGTGGTAAAACTGGTGCCAGAGTGCTTTAAGGAACTGTTGTTTAAAGTAAATGTCAACCTCGGCTGCCTGAGGACGAAACGCAAACGAGCTCACTGACTGATGTTAACAAGGAACTGGTGTTTCAGTATAACTTGTTTTACAGGTGGGAAAGAAAAAAAACAAAAAGGAAATAGTGAGTGAAGCTTTTCTCTTAGTTCTTTCTTTGTGGAGTGATGTCTTTTTCAACTGCAGGAAAACACAAGAGAGCATTCTGGAATTATCTACATCTGTGTTTGCATTTCCATTTATTGGTTCTGTCAATCTTTTACTTATTGTGGGCTCATTTTTCATTTTGCAAACGCTTTCATTCCAAAGTGAGGTACATCTGAGGGCAGATAAAACACAAGCAAGGTTCGAGTCAGGAGAAAACAACCTGGATAAGTGCCATAGAACAAGGTCAAGTGTGATAGGGCGTTGATGCCAATAGCGGGCTGTGGGGGAGGTATTAGGATTGCCAGTAAGGAGTTGCAATAGTCAGTGTGTGATATTATGAGAGCCCGTACCAGGAGTTGTGCTGCATGTTCAGACAGGAAGGATCTGATCTTCCTGATGTTGTATAGGGCGAATTGACATGACCGAGCAACAGAGGCCACATGAACCATGAAGGTCAGTTGGTCATCAATCATGAGTAAACGACAGGAAACGACAGGAAGAGCAGGGTATCATCAGCATAGCAATGGTATGAGAAACCATAGGCATGGATTATTGCACCAAGTCAGGTTGCGTATATTGACATTTCTCTGCAATATAAAGAAAAAAAATATCTTAAATTATCATGTACAATACTGTAAAAACAAATGGGGTGTCCACATATTTAAGATAATTTACTACCTATGCAACTTTATTTTGTTTCCATACTTGTCTCTTCTCTGCTCTGTGGAACCACTGCCTGCAGTTTAGTCAAAAAAATAAATAAATAAATCTATGAATTTTTCTCATGTGACTGGTGTCACAGCAGAGTCACTAATCGCTTCCCAGTTGTGTCAATGAGTGCACGTCACAGATTGCATATGTGAAGTGTCATTGAACCTGTATTTACTCTTAACAGTTTATTCATGTTTCATCAGAAGCTGCTTAATTTGCACTAAACTTTTGGTTTTATTTTAAATATGCCTTTTTTAATCACTCATGTTTGCTTATTTAACCTGTTGCCCTTGTTTTATAGTATTCTCTAGTCTCCAGGTAAAGCTGATTCTGTTTGATATGGAAGTAGTTTGTAGATCATCTGAAAGCTGAAAATCCAACACTATTTTATTTCTTTTATTTTTTACAGTTTCTGGCTGCGTTCACTGATGTCATTTTGCCAGTTTTCTAAAGATCAAACCTTTCCAACACGCCTGCAGGCTTTTTAGTTTAGAGAGTTTACAGAGCATGTCGCAATAAAACAGGTGCTGGATGTTTCATCAGCTGAAAGCATCTGCACATGCACGCAGAGACGACCATTTAGTCTGAGTCTACTTGCTTTTCTGCCAAAACAGCTGTGGGTGAGGGATTGTTTACACCTGGAAATAAACTTGTCAAAGATTCTTAATACGATGATGTCAACCTGGGGATATTCTCAATGTTGATCTTGGAATCACAGGTAGTTTCAGTTACGTATCTGTCAACATCAGTTTCCTTTAGCCAGAAACAGCACTCAGTCCATCGAGGAAGTTTTTGAAAATAATTGGACTGCATACTTTTCTAAGATTACAGGCAGAGCACTTTGCAATTTGCCTATGATACGAGTATGGAAGTAACAGGGAGTTCTGCACATTGGTTCAGGCACTTTGACGTGCGCAAACCCACTCATTTTATTGTCCTCAATAGGAAACTTGGCTTGCAGTCACAAGATATATTTAAAAAACTAAACATGTATACAATGTCTAAAACAAATGTCTAAATTTCTGCAAATTAAGCAAGAAACGCACGAGTTTTTAACCTAAAGCCTGGGAAAAGAGCTTCAAACTCAAAGTGGAGGTGTTGGTCCTTACAGTCAAATACAGACCAGGCCTTAGACGGAGAACCTGCTGGGCAAAGACAGCTGCTAAGGGGCTCTGTGAGTGACTTATCACATGACCAGCTGCTTCACAATACAGCTGAGGCAGGTTTAGTCCCTGATGTTCTCTTACCGAACGAACCAATTGCAGAAAACATAAGAACTGCGACTGAAACTGCTATGTGAGCGCCACAGAAAGGGTTAGAAAGCCAGTAAATACTGCAGGACAGACCAAAGGCCAAGTCCAATAACAAAGCACACAGTGGACGTACTTTTGCAGTATATAGCAGCTAGTTACAGACTGAACTGTAGCACCGTGATCCTTCCTGAGGTGTGATGAGCACAGGATCTCTGGAGAATTTAGACTCTCTCCAGTGTGTGGGCTCCCTCAATTGAAAGCATGCACAAATCAATGCACTTGCAAAGTTCAGCACAGACTACTTCAACTACAACGTTTTTAACGATTAACTATAAGGGTGTGGATGTTGAAGAATCTCACTAAAAACAGGATTTGTGTTGAGTACCAGTGGGCATGCTCGGGGTGTGGAAAGTCCACACAGAGCTGAACTGAATGAAGCCTGCTGCCCACAGACTTGGGTTAATGAGGAAATTTACATGACGTATATTTCTGACTGCTTGCGGACCTAAGGCGACCCCACACTGGTCTTGACACATCAACAAATCTTCCTGGGTTTCACATCCGTCTTGAAATCCTACACAGTATTTATTTCAGGCCAAGATAAGAACTCGATGGCACCATTCCAAAAGAAAGATTTCCTTTCGATGAAGTCATTCTGGAGTAGGTTTACTTTAGGCAGTGTTTACGGTTGATGTAATGCTGCATCACCCTACTTCTGCACGGCAACAGTCTCTCTTACCTCGATTACAACCTACACTTGAAGGTTAAGGATAAAAATACACTGGTTTGGGTGCTTAGGTTAAATTGACTATATTTGGTAATTTCTGAGTTTGATGAAGATCTAACCACAATTTAACCCTCTAAGCACTAATTATAGGCATGTTATCTTAAAAACAAGTTGATTTAGATTGAACTGTAACAATTACAGAGAACTGCTTCATTTTCAACTTTTTGACTGTCATGAGTTACTCATCTTTACATGTTAATTATACCTTTTTAATCAAGAAAAGTCATCTTTGTTTTTCCTTAAAAACTAACTCAGGCATTTTAACTGTCATATTGTGGAGGGGACATTTGAGTTCTTCGTACTTCTAGTCATGGTTGTGCTGTTTCCATAGAGGTGCTGGACTTTATATTGCAGTAAAAATGAGCCCAGAGTGAGTAAAAACATGTGGCAGGAGCAGAAAATGGCCAGAAAAATACAAGGAAACTTATGTAAACACACAGTGAGTGAAACACAGAAAGACAAAGCTGTTTGATAGCTTGCAGCTGTACTCAGTCAACACTCCATCAGAAGGGCAACAAATTAAAATGTTCGATCCAACAATTGCCTCTGGATCCTGTTTCAATCTCACTCCATGAGATTGTTCCTCGCAGTTTCCTTTGTGTGGTTCCAGTGTAAAGCCAGTATTTACAGCACTGTGCTATATTACAGCATAATTTAGAACCAACTCATGCTTTGATGTGATTGCTATTAACTGGCAGCATATCCATTCTGAACTTGGTAAGAGCTTACTGTCACGGTGCAGACACAGATACAGGCAAAGGAGCTCCTTAACAAAGGAGTTCATTAAATTATAGATTAACAGAAAACAATATAGAGGGATGAAGCTAAACAGAGGGGGAAAACCAGAATGGATTTACAAAGGGGGGAAAAACTACAAAAACCCTTGAAAACTCTAAACAAAGAACTACTAAGATTAAAAAACAAAGCTACTCAAACAAACGGGGATACTTACAGGACAGGGGACAAAAACTGAAGAGGGGCAGACAGGCTCGGGTGATCCCGGATCTGGCAAGGGCTGGGGGCAGGTACAGGCTGGCTGGGGCAATGCAGGCTGGAAACCAGTGGCAGGAACACAGGAGATGAAGGTCAATGGTCTATGGTCAGTGTATAGAGGAATGAACAGGGCTTTATAGCAGGAGATGGATGATTGAGTTCAGGTAAGCCCATCCCCTCATCTGTCTCCAGTACCTGTGATCAGGCGGGCTGCAAGCAGGGCTGGAGTGACTAAGGCCCTGTTTAAATGTGGCAAAAATAGATTTAATGCATCTGGGCCTTTGGTTCACACGTAAACGAAGCTACAAGTCACTGAAAACGATCGTATCTGACAACTCCGGCCAAAGTGGAGATTTGGAAAAACTCTGTCTTTACGTTTGCATGTAGACAGGAAGAGACGGAGTTTGACGCCACAGTGTGCGACAAAAGCGTCATCAGACATAATATGTGTGTGACCTATGTTTACAGTTTGGCTACTGTGTGTGTTGCTGTTAAAGCAGTGCTAGTTTTTACATTTGTGCAAATGCTTTTGTCCTTTACATTCAGAAATGTTCTATTATGTGGAGGAGCTTCTCTGTCGGGCCAAACAAACGACCCTCGTGCCATTATCGTTGAAGTAACAAGAAGTAATTTGTGCCATTCATTGTTGTGTTTTTTCCAGGATTCTGATTGGCCAAGCATGGCTTTATGCTTCTCGTTACACTGCCCCCTATAGGTTTGGCATGCTCATAGCAGCTCTTGACGTGTTTATGCGGGTTTGTGTAAACAAAGATTTTTTTTGAAAACGATCTGGTGTGAACAATGTTATTTTTGATTTCTTTTTTTTCCAGCTCATAGCAGCGATCCAGGGTGTGGATAAGATCATCGGTCAGCTCATGAACGGCCTCAAGCAGCTCGGCCTGCACCGCTGCGTCAACATGCTGATTGTGGCTGATCACGGTAACATACAGTGCCAAACCTCCCTGATTTACACCCATTGCTGGTCCTTATTTATTTTGCTTTCATTTGATCTTTTTTTTTTTGTTGCAAAAAATGCATTCTGAAAACAGACGAAGTCACTTAACTTGTTATCACAATGTCACTAATATGCCTTTTCGTAATATCAGATTATTTTCCCGAGAAAATCCAAGCAGCTGGTGATTCACTTTGAACAAACGGATTTTTAACAATGTTATGATGATACTGGCTAAAAAAAAACTACAATGGAATCGCTGACTGCCGTTGACGAAGAAGAGAAATCACGTCAGTGGTGTTGTGTGGCATCCAAAAAAAAGTGATCTAACACTGACATACTGTTGCAGGTATGGAGGAGACGAGCTGCGACAGGAAGGAGGTTCTCCAGGAGCTAGTTGGAGATACCAGCAATTACTTTGTAATTCAGGGTCCGTTTGGGCGCATCCGTGGTATAAATAAAGACACCGTCGGTGAGTTAATGTACAGACACAACCTACTTTCCTGTTGCTTCACTAACCACACTGATTAAGTAATAATCCAGGTATTAGTTCTGATCCACACTGAAACTCTGCACGTTGATGATAGCTTTCAAGAGGCTTGACATTTTATCAGCTTATTGAGAACCGTGGCGTCTCCCAATAAGTATCCAGCTGCATTCCTGTTAAACACACAGTGAGTGAAACACAGAAAGACAAAGCTGTTTGATAGCTTGCAGCTGTACTCAGTCAACACTCCATCAGAAGGGCCTCTAGATCCTGTTTCAATCTCACTCCATGAGATTGTTCCCCGCAGTTTCCTTTGTGTGGTTCCAGTGTAAAGCCAGTATTTACAGCACTGTGCTATATTACAGCATAATTTAGAACCAACTCATGCTTCGATGTGATTGCTATTCCATGCATATCCATTCTGAACTTGGTAAGAGCTTACTGTCACGGTGCAGACACAGATACAGGCAAAGGAGCTCCTTAACAAAGGAGTTCATTCAATTATTATTTATTTATTATTATTTTCATTTATTATTTACTTATTGGCGTCTCCCAATAAGTATCCAGCTGCACTCCTGTTAAATACAAGCTCCAGTAGACATTTTAATTCACTAGTTGGACAAAGTGCACATCTGTTTAGTGTAAAGTGGAACAAAACAACCCTCTTATTCCTGGACAACCCAGGTGTTCAGCCACTCATCAATGCATCTGCGCAAGTAAACATTCCAGAGCGTCGAAGGTTGGGTTGGCAAAAGCAGCCAAGTATGACGATAGATACATATCTCGCATCTAATCTCAGTTTTGTTTGTTACAAGAGAAGATGACTTTGACTGACAGCTTAATAATGACAGTTTTGACTCTACTCCAAGGGAAATTTAGCAACTTCAAAACTTTGTGTATCCGTCCCCTGACTTATGCTTTTCAATAACCTTATTACAGAGTTACAGAGGGGTGTTCTTTTGTCTTCATGGTGTAGTTATAGCCAGAAGTAAAGTTGTCCTTAAATGTGTTCATACCCTCCCATTAAAGAAGGAAAAGAACAGCTGTCACTGAGATAAGTTGAAATTGACAAAAGTAATAATACAAATTTTATGAAAATCATGACATTGCTTTTGAATTGTGGTTCAACAGAAATATTAAAAAACAAACAAACAAAAAAACAAGCAAACAAACATGATGGGACCCGTAAAAACTGTTGAACAACCCTTTGAGCCAATCACTACAGTCAAGTGTTTTCTGTAGCCCTCAATCAGACTTCTGAACCTGTTGACACGTATTTTGATTTTAATCCACTGCTTATCAGCAAAGTACTCGTAATTTGTCCTGGACAGTTCTGTTTTTTTTTAAATTATTCTTTTCAACCACAATTCAAAAGCAATGTCTTATTTCACTAAATTACAATTTTGCAAATTTTTATTTATGATTACTTCGTTCAGTTTCTAGTTGAGTGACTATTGTGAATTTTGCCTTTTCTGTAATGGAAGGGTATGAATACATTTAAGGACAACTGTACTGATTCACCACTGACTGGTGACAGGTGTCTTTATAGTACAGTCACTGAATGAGACACATTTAATGCACTCAGATGATCTCTATTTCATTATTAATTGTGTCACTTCCAGCACCATTTGGCTGCATGTGTGTTGAATTAGGTGAGCCACTTTAAAGAAGGTAAATTCCTACAGGATCACGTACTAAAAAAATAGATGTTTTTAATTTAATGAAATCAATCCATCCATCCATTATCTATACACCACTTAATCCTCACTAGGGTCGCGGGGGGCTGGAGTCTATCCCAGCTGACTCAGGGTGAAGGCAGGTTCACCTGGACAGGTCACCAGTCTATCACAGGGCCACACTTAGAGACAGACAACCAAGCACACTCACATTCACACCTACGGACAATTTAGAATCACCAATTAACCTCAACATGTTTTTTGGCTGTGGGAGGAAGCCGGAGAACCCGGAGAGAAACCACGCTGCACGGGGAGAACATGCAAACTCCACACAGAAAGATCCTGGGTGTCCTCACTGGGATGCAAACTGGTGACCTTCCTGCTGCGAGGCAATGATGCTAACCACCGAGACACCTTGCAGCCCATTAAATGACATTACTTTGTAAAGAAAAGAAAAATCTGTTTTCATTTAGACGTGAAAGAGTGTTTTTGGAGTTATGTTGTCAGAAAAGCCAAATTAAATTGACCACAAGTCATTGCTGAAAAGCAATAAAAATGGGATGATTATCTTTTAATGGGCACTGCGTGATGCACTGGCAACAGTTTTGTGCTTAAGTTTCTGTAATGACAGAAATGTGTTTCCCTTCCAACAGTGGACTCAGCTGGACTCGTGGCTAACATGACTGTAAGTATTTAAAAGACTCTCGGGGTCAAAATATTAGTTTTACATGCAGCAAAGGAACATTTTAAGTGACTTGTGTAGAAATAGTGTAATTTTTTTCTGGCCACATATAAGACATAAACACAACTAACTGCTATAAAAAATCAGTATCTGTTGATTTCAGTGTAAGAAGCCAGACCAGAAGATCAAGCCGTACCTGAAGGCCCACCTACCAAAGCGCCTCCACTTTGCCAACAGTCGTCGCATCGAAGATGTTAACGTCCTGGTGGAGCCTAAATGGCTCTTTGAGAGGTACAGTCGTGACTCGATAATCCGACACTAAATGTAAAACCTTCTTTTATGTCGGATAGCAAGGCTGTCGGATTGTCAAGACGGAGGTCGAGATACAAGGAGGGCGTGATGCTTGAAGTGATTTGCTGTTAATATTTATTGTTTATAGTTGTTATAACAACTCATGTATTGTTTGAGCACTACACATCGCTGGATTTCACATCTGATTAACTGGTGCGCTTGTGCACGTTTCGGCCACTTCCACCCCGGAGGAGCGCTCCGACAGGGTGGAAGTGTCTGGAATACACAGGCAGTACTTGGCTGCTGCTGATAGGGTAGCAGTCACACTTCTGTTCCCACCATCGGGTAGTGGCGGCGGTGGGGGAGTGGCGGGCGATTTTAAAGTTTTTCTAAAAAGTTTAAAATTGCATTATTTGCTCCACCATTACCATCCGTGTTTACTTCCACAAACACTGAGCATACTCGCTGCATGTGACGTAGTTGACACTTTTGGGTGGTATGAAGTTCACACAGCAGATCACATACAAGTCGCATTTAATTGGAAATGTGAACGAACTCGCAAAAAAATCAGATTTCACAAAAAAATCTGAATTGAGCATTTAGTCCTGCAGTCTGAACGTAGCCAATCTGTCGGATTGTTCAGTCAGATAATACTCCGTTATCCTTATTTGTGACATAAAATGTCATGTTGGAGTCAGAATTCAAGGCTGTCAGTATGTTAAAGCTATTTTTTATGGGTTCTGTTCGTTTTTTCTAAAAACCTGATAGCCAGGTTTTCGGATTGTTAAGGGTCGGAATGTCAAGTCATGACTGTATTTTATCTGCGGTTTGTCTGCCATGTCCGATTTTCAAACAGCGGCGTCTTTGCTAATTTTACACTTCCTGGAAGCGCGGCGCCGGCCACATCAGTGTGTATGTAGGTTGAAAAACTTCTTGTGATCATGTGACCTTGGCCCAGGGTCTGATTGGCAGCTGCAGATTTTCTCACGGGGCGCAGCTCGGTGCGTCCTGGACCCGTCCACTTTCACTGTAAGCCAGTTAATTTAGTCTTTATTTGCTTTTGTCTTCTGTGGCTGGATATCAAAACTGTCCGTTCTTACGACTGCGCTTTCTGACACCATCACACGGCCTCTCCCCTCCTCGTCTACTAGATAACAGCTACTGTTGTGATGGCTTAATTCATCGGCCATGCTGTCAATGGAGAAAAGACGGCTCGTAGAAAACATGCAACTGGGTTTAACCTCGGACAGATGTGACACGAGAACGCTCTAGTTTATTATTTTTAAAGTCATTTTTGGCCAGACACCTGTCAGAGCACCACAGCAGCTACTGCAGCCTGCTATGTGGGGCGTTTAGGGAGCATCAGTAAATTGTAGCGTCTATCGATAAGAAAATGTTGAGCAAGTCATAAGTTTTGTATGTGACCAGGTGGGAGGTGCAACAAAATGAGAAAGTGGGTCGTACTGGTACTACCAGTGAAAAAGTTAGTCTGGAACCCTGACTAGTGTTTTTTTTTTCATTTTTTATGTTGTGTGTTTGTGCAGATCCTGTAAATATTGATTAAAGTTTGATGAATGGTTTTGAAATTTAGTTCTGGTAAATCTTGATAATGTTAAATCAGATTATGATTAGGATGTCCTCCAAAGGTAGAACATTTGTATTCCTGTAAATACTTGTGACATGCAGTTGAAACCATTTCTGAGTGATGAACCAGTGATGGGAACTAAAGGGCAGTTAGGAACGTTAAAACATGGAACATCCCGGTGTAGTGACTCATATTACTCTACAGGAACAAACACCGTTTTGACGTCACACTAATCTGGCGTGGAATTTTTTGGACCACTTGGGAGGGTCACAATTAGGAGACAGATCAGGATGTTTTTCCCCCTTAATCCACTACATTCTGATGCAATTTCAATAACTTTTCTGTATCAGTTTATGATTGAAATATCTTGATGTGTGGAAACGAAAACACAAATTCGGGAGTTACTTCAAAATAGAGTTGAACATAACATGTCAAGCATTTTGTGTTGCTTTTGAAGATTTACTCTGCTGTTGATTAACTTGCATTATTTAACATTGAACCTGTGGCAGACTGGCCTAACCTCCTCTGTATTCCTAACTGAAACCTACAAATGTAGAATTAAGAGTTATACAGGCTGTTTTCAGGTAAAGTTTCTGGGAGGCAGAAAATCACAATACACAGAATGTCAGTGATTAAGACACGAGTGGGAGGGACTTGGAATCTTCATGCCAGGCTCACTGTATATTTTAACAGTAGGTTAATTCCCGCCATAATGACATCACAAACATCAGACTCTCGTCAGCACACTGAGCGAAAACACAGATGTGTAAAATAAATCTGATCCTTGTGGCTGCTGTAAACTTCCATGCCAGTAGAGTTTATTGCCTCACCCCGTTGCCATTTTTCAGAGTTAATATTAAGTCAGTTTCCTGAAAGTCATTCTGATAACAACCTTCAGATGTGAAAACAAATCAAGTTCCAATTTTGTTGCTGAAAATAATTAAGATTTAATTGCAAAAATGATAATCTCTCCAGTAGCCCTGCGATAGACTGGCGACCTGTCCAGGGTGTCCCCTGCCTTCGCCCTAAGTCAGCTGGGATAGACTCCAGCCTCCCGCGACCCTAATGAGGATTAAGCGGTGTATAGATAATGGATGGATGGATGGATGGATAATCTCTCCAAGCTGTGTTACCAAAGAGTTCAAACATTAAAACAAATGACTTTTTAGCTTCAGTCTACACATCCAGGGCCTGAAATAATGAACAGGATCATCATAAAATGCTCAACAAACAATAATGTCCCTGTGGTCAAAACCTAAATCCGCTACAGACTCAAATAAAACATGTATGTAGTCTTAATGGGCTGCGTTTCAGTCATTTCAGAACCATTTCAGATTTATTCAAGTCTTTTTTAAGAAAAGAAAATACTGTCTTTACTAAAGCTGAGGCGTTTGTTATTGCAAAAGCACAGTCACCGTTCGACTTAAGCCTCGACTTTGGTAACAGCCAAAAGGGCCCCTCCCGAGGATCTAAGGCTGTGATCTGATTTGTATATGTCTAACATGTTAACATCTGCTTTGTAGATTGGGGGCCGACCTACATGTGCTTTAACCCGCTGGATAACAAAAATCCACCAGCTGGTTTCAAATACTTATCTTTTAGAAAAAAACTGCCAAGATTACACAGTTTGTTAGCCAGAAAACAAAAAGAAAGAAAAGAAAATGAAAACTGAATCACTCATGAATGGTTGTGACCAACCATTGTAGGACTTTGCGGCTGAACTGCAGGCCGTGTTTCGCTACAGCAGACAAATATGAAAAAGGATTACAAACAAAATTATTAAAACATATACAGTGTTCAGAGCCACGGCATATTTTTCGGTCGTGGTTACACTTATGCGCAACCGAAAAATTTTGTGCATGAAAATTTCAGTGTTTCATTTTCATACAATAAATGATCAAATGCTCTTCTTTTGCTTTTATGATTTACAGCAACATAACTTCATTGTAACGCCCAAAAGACTGATGTGCTCTGCAGTGAATAATGAGCCCACAGTGAGAAAACGAAGCAAAAAATGCCCAGAAGCTCCTTGGAGTTCAAATGGCTACAAGTGATTTGTGAAATTTGATTAATTTTATAGTAAAACTGAAGAGGTTTTCTGTGTCTCCACAGAGCTCCACAATCTCTCACATTCTGCTCTGGCGGGAATCACGGCTACGACAACGATGTTGAAAGCATGCATGTGAGCGCTCAGGATTTCTAAATTTTTCAGTTCATTCTGTTCCTTTGTTTCCCTAACTTGGCCGCGTTTGCAGCTCTGAAATACGCCTTTCCAAATGATCTTCTTTGTCTTCTCTTGTAGGCCATGTTCGTCGGTTATGGCCCAAAATTTTTGAACCAAACAGAGATCGAACCCTTCAGCAGCATTGAGCTATACAATCTCATGTGTGGTGAGTATATGGCTCTTCAAATAATTACTAACTGTGCGTTATAATTTGTTGCGGTTTGGCCAAGGATTGAATTAGAAATGATCTAAAACCAAAGCCAAAATAGAAAATGTAAATGTCGCAACTCAAAACGGGTAAATGCATCTCTGAAATGACGTAAGTGTAAAAGCCGTCCCTGCTTGCATCTGCATTACCACAAAATAGACGGCATGTTGTTCATGATGATTTCACTGTCTCTACAAAGCTGTTATGGAATATTACGTAACCTGTGGTTAACTTAATTCACTGGGTCATGCAGATGTGCTAGAAATCTTCCCCACCCACAACAATGGGACCCACGGCAGCATGAATCACATTCTGAGGAAGCCCTATCACATACCAACACACCCTGCAGAGCAGAGTGTGCAGTCTGAGTGTCCCCTGGAGAGTCTGCTCCCTGGTGAGGCCCTGGGATGCTCCTGTTCTGGCCTGGTGAGTATCGTCACTCATCCGGAGGTTTTCCGGGCATGTCCAACTAGAAGGAGACCATGAGGTAGAACTTGCTGGAGAGATTATATTTCTCATCTAGCCTGGAAATGCCTTTAAGATCCCCCAGGAAGATGTGAAAAGCGTTGTGTGGGAAAGTCTTGAATGAACTGCGTGACCCAAGACCGAATTAGCGAATCACTAACAGCAGTTCTACGATGTTCTGTTACATAGACATGTTAAGCACTGTAGGGTAAGAAATAAGTTAGACTTATATCCACACTAAAGCAAATGACTGCATTAATTAAAATGATCAAAACCAACCTTTAAATTATTCGTCCACCGATAGAATTTATATTTATCTGTGATTTATGGGCTGCAAGGTGGTACAGTTGGTAGCACTGTTGCCTCGCAGCAAGAAGGTCGCCGGTTCGCGTACTGGGATCTTTCTGCGTGGAGTTTGCATGTTCTCCCCATGCAGAGTGGGCTCTCCGGCTTCCTCCTACAGCCAAAAAACATGCTGAGGTTAATTGGTGATTCTAAATTGTCCGTAGGTGTGAATGTGAGTGTGCTTGGTTGTCTGTCTCTAAGTGTAGCCCTGTGATAGACTGGTGACCTGTCCAGGGTGTCCCCTGCCTTCACCCTAAGTCAGCTGGGATAGGCTCCAGCCCCCCATGACCTTAGTGAGGATTAAGCGGTGTATAGATAATAGATGGATGTATAATTTATAATTATACAGAGTTATGCCTGTTGAAAATAAATATAAATATCACATTTACAGGATCGCAAAGAGTCTTTGCTGCTGCTAAAGGGTAGTGGTGATTACGCTAGAGAATAGCAGCGTTAGCAGTGAAGACAGCCATAGTGAAACTCCGTCGGCGCTTGTTAAATATTTTCCCATGACATACCCTTGAAAACAACGTATCGACCCAGTTTGCAGCGAACTTTTTTCAGGCAGCAGTGTAACGGCTTGTTACTCTGTTATGACACTGGCAAGAACCCTGTATGCAATTATTATTATTATTGTTATTTGCAAAAATTATTTCATGACTGAATCGCTTGTTCACATACGGGGATTCCCACTGATAGACAATCAAAATGAATGTTACAGAAAGCTGCCATAGTCCAGATCCCGCTATACCCGTCTGCAGGGTAGACGGGATCAAAGCGGCAGACCGATAAAGCGGTCTGCAGGGTTGAATGGGTTGAAAGCTGCAGACCGGTATAGCGGGCTATCCTGTTGAAAGGGTTAAGCAGGGTGTGTCATAGATTGAGTGGCCTTAAAATAGAGCCAGTGTGAACCAAATACGAGTTGGGAGTGAGACTGGTCTGTGTTATCATAAGGAGACAGCCAAATAATCCTAAAGGTAGCAATCCTTAGGAGCATTTCAAAGCTGCCATCTCAGCAAATAACTGCAAAATAACAATATCTATTTCACACATCACCCAAAATGAAACAACCCAATAAATCATACTAAATCCAACCACGGATGGCAGTGTCCCAACATCAGCTCAGTATTGCTGGTTTTATAGCACAACAATTTAGCACAGCAACATGAAGCCAAACCAAGGGTTCTTAACTTCTCCAAGTGGGTAATTAGAGAATAAATCCCACTGACATCATAGTATTGCGTGAGGAGCTCTGAAATATGGCTATGACCAATCAGAAAGCGATCTTTTGTTTAAAGTGCGGCACTAAATATGTGCCCAGGTTGTTAACTGTGGTTATTGGTGAAACATGCAAGAACACGTTGTAGTTTCATAGAATTTTGTAAAAATCAAAACAGAGCTGCAGCTGTTTCAATAGAAAAAGAAACTGAACGTGAAAAATGATTTCATGCGGACATGTTTATTGGCAGCTTCAAAATGAGATAAATGGTTCCTTCAACGCAGAAAATGATAAAGTGCCTTTCGGACTCATAAATGAGACACAATGAAGTGATTGAATAGTTTTGGGCTCTAACAAACGGTGTAATTTTAGTGATTTTTTATTTTCTGTTTTTTTCTAATCGTCAGTTTCTGGGGTTCAGAAGGTTAATGTAAACAGATTGTTGCAACTTCCCACTTCTAAAATGCTGTGCGAATGGGTCTGCGTTTGAACAGCTCACAAGACAGACAAGAAACGCCTTTGAGGGTTAGCTAGAGCAGTTTGGCAGTCTCCAAGAGAAAGTGAAACAGGGCACGCTGACCTTGAAGCCAATGCAGTGGGCAGTCAATAATTCCATCTTACTGTAAAAGCAAACCCATTCACGAAAGGGTTTAATGCATTCACTGGATTAATGATTCATGGAGGCTTGTTTTGCCCCTGGTGGGCGGCCAAGACTTCAATCTCACCATGACTGGATAATAGACCTGCAGCCAGTTACAAACATGACTTCTTTGGGGAGTTTGGAATCCATGGTAACTGCTGAAACAGTGATGCTGGCCGGAGAGTGGCACTTGTACCTTATTTATGTCAAGGTTCAAGTGAAATAAATAGGTTGTCCAGTGAGTTAGCATTTGAGTCAACTGGAAAATGTTAGCGAGCAAAGAGAAAAGGTCGCGACACCTTGACTTTTGCTTCCTACTGTGGCTCAAGCTCCAGCAACGCCAGATCTCAAAGTACACCGAACACAACTCTTCATCAGGTTCTTCCCGAATGATGACGCACACATCTCTCCGTTTGCTTATCACCAGGGTGTAGTCAAACTGCGATAAGGTTACATGAGGTTCTTTCAGGGGTGTAATTTCTGCTGTAATTCCTCCTACGTCCTTTTTTCCCCCTGGTATTAAGCAGCTTTTTACTGCCATGAGCACGTACAAAGTGGCGTGAACGTTTACAGGAAAAGCTCCTGTAACCAGTCAGCATCCAACAGCTTCGATATCAACTCTGAGCGTGCAAAAACGAGGACAAATATTTCACTTTATTTGTAAAATACTTGAACTTTTTTCTTTTAAAATTCTGACTATATCATAAAATTATTCCCAAAGTTAGGAGTTAATTCTTAAAATATGTACTTTTTTCCTAACATATTTCCAATATACTACATTTCCTAACATTTTACCTCATATTAGTAATTTCCCTGAGGTTTCCACCAAGGGGATCAATAAAGTTCTATTCTACTCTATATCTTCTGCATTGTCTAAACAAAAAAATATTAAAATCTTGGTTAATGTGTAGCTCTATTTTAGAAAAATACAACATACCAAGAAGATAAAATGCTTAACAATAAGTTGTTTATTAAATGGAACTTATATTTAATGTTAGTTTATAAAGGAGTAAGACATGAGATGGGACACATATTCCAAGATTAGTGGAAGGACAAAGCAAAGATAATCAGAAGGTTTTAAATCATAGTGTCCATTATACGGATCTATAGCATATATAGTGTGCATGTGTAGAGCTCTATTGTATTGTATTTCTCAGCTCTTCCGATTTATAGGTTTTTTTGGTTTCTTTTTCTTCCTGTCACTTTTTTGTGCTCTTTCCTGTATCTATACTGCTGCAACAAGTGAGTTTCCCCATTGGTGGTGAAAAATAAAGGGCAATCTAGTCTAATCTAATCTAAAAGTGGCTTTCCAGCACTATGAAGCGTGTCTGTGTTGCAGGAAGAAAAAGGATATTTTTTTCTCAGTCATCGATGTCACTTTAGAACCTCATGAAATGGACGATCCAGATGTGGAAACTGCTATTGGAGAAGAGATCTTAAATCTGGAAAAGCAAGAAATTCAGTCTGGGAACGGAGTCTGTGTTTTAGCTCGAATCGGAAACGAGTCAAACATGACGACGATTCCTGCTTATTGTGCTGTTGATTGCGCAGTTTCGCAGCTTCGACCTGCAAGGCAGGAACTTGGAAAGGACTGTGAAACAAAACATTAGCAGCAGGTCCTTAAAGTCCAAGACGTTGAAGCTGTTGCAGATGGTTCCAGCATTTCACCCAAAATCAATTCGGAATTTGTTCCAGTGAACGAAATAATTATAATGCCTTCTTGGCAAACCCGGCAGTTGCTTCACTGTGGGAAGATGTTGGCCACACAAGAGTTTCTAGATGGAATGGTTTCATGGGTTCATGTTTGCCTCAGGTCCTTGGTTCTCTGGAAGTAATTTTGCAGGAAACAAACACTGCTCTTCTTAAAATAGAATGATGCCCAGAAAAACCATCCATCATTTCATTAGAAAATGTTGTATGGCAACAGAATATTTTTATGCTGTAAAAAAACAAACAAAACAAAACAAAAAAAAAAAAAACAAAATCTGTATTTTTACACATTTACCTTCATTGCTTTTTCTGTATTTACTGAAATTCAAAAAATATCCCAAAAATAATAAATCAGCCTGTGGAATTACATGTTTAAAAAAAAAAAAAAAAACCCTAAAAAAATATTTAAAGAATTTTTTTAACTGTTAAAATACAATTGCAGATTTATCATAATTTTAAAAAATATTTCCTTTTTATTTATTAAAAAGGAAAACATGAAATTAAAGTTTTGCACTGTAAAAATATTTCTAAAATGAAACACAATTAACAACCAGAACAGATGCATATAAATATGCTTTATTAAACATTAAAAAAACTAAAAAATAAACAAATAAATAAACATGATCTAATGAATGGTTACTATCCAGTTTATTAGTTTTTTGTGCTTTTGCCAGCAGTTCCTTTTCTTTAATTTATTTTTTCCCTTTTTTTATTTTTCGTTTGTTTTAGATTAGACTAAAATAGTGTCCTGTAATTGACTGACATGCAGTTCGAGCATGATTAAGCCATGGTGAATATTTATGGGGGGGAAGCACAAATGTAGCTCAAGGGTTTTGAAAGGAGAACGATTTGAGGAGCTCCAGAAGTGTGTTTGGCTGTAATAAGTCTGGAATATATCTCAAAACACAGTTTGAACATCTAGGTTGTTTTTTTAAAAACATAGATCTCACTTTGGTGTTGCTGAAATATTAGACATAACACCAATAAGGTCTCCTTGAAATTATTAAAAGCTGAAAGATACTAAAATGAAAGCGTGGTAAATAAACGTAGTGGACGACTGTGGACTGAATTCGGATGAAGAAGCTTTCTGTTGGTGATATCAGAAGCCTTGTACATGTTGTGAGGAAGTTTGTTATGAATCACTGAAACAGTACATTATAAAATCCCTGCATTTCTCTGTATGGTCCCAGTTCAGTTCAGTTTGATGAGATATAAAACATGACTGCATTTATATATTGTTTATTATTGTTTACTGTTCAATGTTTGTCTCTTGTTAGGACGCAGATGTCAACAGACGCCTGAATCTGACTGCACAAGAAGGTGATTTTTAACATTTTTCCTTGTTTTTAGATTGTTTTAAATGGATACATTTCATTTTTTGTCATTTTCTCCGCATTGTTGTTTCGCATCTCACTGTTCATTTTCAGGAAACATCAAACACTGATTGGACAGTGGGACCTCTTGTCACAATATCTCCACCACTGATGGCAATGATTAGGACTAAAGCGCACTTTCCCTTCTTTCAGTATCTGCTGCAGAGAAGAAGCACCTGCTGTTTGGTCGTCCTCGCGTGCTGCAGCCCGACCAGAAGTACTGCATCCTCCACCAGGAGGGATTCATGAGCGCCTACAGCAGCTCGGCCCTGATGCCTCTGTGGAGCTCGTTCACCATCGACAAGCCGGTATGTACATCAGTGGGGATGGAAATGATCTAAAATGGGAAGTATCATTACTAGAGATGTTAGAATTGCTGTAAAAATTGCTGGAAAAAATGGATTTTTGAGGAACAACTGTTTGGGAATGTTGTGGTTTTGTACAAAATGTAAAATTAACCAGATTCCTGATGACTAATTTAAATTCAAGCCATTGCTCTATTGTTATCTATTGGATTTTGCAGGATCGCTGAGACTGCTAGATATATGAAAACTAAATAGAAAAAGTGATAAATAGGGCTTTCCATAATATAAGTAGTAACAAGCAATTCTTCAGACACGTGTCTAACAACCAAATATGAAACAAAGACGTAATGTTGAATCTTTCACATTAAGATGCATTAAAATAAATAAAATAAAAATAACATAAGTGAATTGATGAATGAAATAAAACAACAGATCAATGAAATTCCAGCTTGAACCTCATGATATAAGAATACACACTAAACCTCATCTGTGTGGAAAACATGGGAAAAACAAGTGGAATTTTTTCAACCTTTGTCTGATTCAGACATGGTTCGATTAACAGACGTATGTATTTAGTCAGTAGCGACGGTGCAATTTTCTGCATCAATGCTCCTGTGTGAATCACAAGTTTTACATTTTCTGCTGAAGTTCCAGAATCATGCTGCTGACTGTTGGCAGCTGATGAATCAGGAAGGAAAACAGCTTTAGTAAAAAAAAAAACATTTTTCCAGCTGTGTAAAAAGCAAGCGTGCTGTTTTCTTCCACCATTCGAATGACTTTTCTGTCTGTTTTGAGATCATTTCGAAAGCTTAAATAACTCTCCAATACATCATGTAACTCAGATTTATTTCTATAGCACCTTTTGAAAACACAGGAAATCAAAAGGAGCACCGGGGCTCAGACTTGTACTAAAACAAGATTAAAAAGGCATTTCAATCAGATATGGTCATATATAATATCAGTCCCTTGATTTTTGAGTGTTTTAATCTGATTAAAACGAATGAATATTGGAGTTATTCTGGTTGCAGCAGAGTGAAGCTCGAATAAATCTAACACTAATAAATGTCAGCATTAAGGGTTGGGTCTAAGGATAGTAATAATAGAAAAACCTATAAAATGGTGATAAACAGGACTTCATCAGTGTGATTACAGGATCTACATTGACTTTAAAGCCGATGTTTGGATAGTAATTTAAGTTCAAGAAATACATGAGTCTAGATCCAGTCATGAGCCTTTTCTGGGGCTTTTGTCTCTCTTGATAATTATCCGCCTGCAGAGTTTCTTGGAGATAAAATTCCTGGATATGTGAGCTCAGCAAATGCCATGGTTTTGTCCATGTATGGCCAATATTCTACTACACTGTGTCTCAAACAAGCTTTATTTGTACGGCACCTTCAGACAGCTCAGTCCAGCCCAGGCGCACGGCCAGCACACAAGCAGAAATGTAAACAGATTAAAAAGACAAAAACCTGAAAATGAAATAGTAAAAAGTAGATACAATTAGATTAAAAGACAAACCATAAAAATACAATAACATAAAAAAAAAACACGGACTGAAAAGATTAAAAAGACAAAGCAGTCGAATAAAATGAATTAAAATGTGATTTTCTATTCATGCAGTTTGTTTTCATGCTTTTATGTGACAACTGCTTCAGCTTGCATGATGTTTGACTTCTGCGGTTCGTCAGTTTCCACAAACAGTCATTATGCAATATACATAAATGACGAATTGTCCAACATTTTTTTGCTCCACTTTTGTTTTTGGTTGCACAGCTCTTCCTTTGTCTCCTCCTGCACAACCTGTTTACATTCATGATTTAAAATATCTCACACAACTTAATTTAAAGATAATACACTTTTACTAAGATGAT